TAAAGGCTCAAAGGGAGCGTTTTTCATTTTTTGTCATCGGAATTGGGCCACAATTATGCAAAACGAAAGAACATCATAGGGCTAGACGGGGCCAGCGTTGAAAAGTCGCGAAGCGGCTTTTCAACCCCGGTATATTTTTTAGAAAAGCAAGAGGCATCGAGACAAACCCAAAAGAGGAGATCGCCGTCCCGCTATCGATTTTGGTCATCTTAACTTGGCGTGGGTTTTAAAGATAGTTTTAAAGTTAATTCAAAGTTAAACAAATAATTATTTTAGCAAACATTTACTTAAAATTAATTAATCAATTCAAAAAATTCATTCCTTTTGCAATCGATCGAAAGGAACAATTTTCTGGGACTTTAGTGAACCTGATGTTTTGTGGCGCCTGTATTTTCGCCTATGATGCCCTGTTGGGTATGCTGCCCACTGGTGGGGACGAGATGTAAGGATTTGACTCTGAAAAAAATATTTTCTAACCTAATAGTTAGAAAACATGTAGTTCATGACTTTCCAAACGCATTACCGCATTTCGAACTATTTATGACATCGCGATGACTATTCCGAGCACGACTTTCTTTTAGGAGCTTGGCCCTCCGATGGGATTCTGGGATGGTTGTTACTTTACGTATATCACGATTTCCGGGATGGGCATGAGTGATGACGTACCGGTGTATGCGGCTGTAAGTTAGGAGTGAAGTGACTGAAATATCCCCAAAATTCAGACCGCCGCCTTCCCGTTAATCTGGTTCATCTTGTCGATGCCAGTTTTCCAGGTTATTTAATTTTAGACGTTCTAAATAGTGTTAAAATTGATGGTTACTTGAAAAGTATTTCTGCGTTGCTTGCCCCTTTTAAATTAGAGCTTACAGTCACATTACATTGGCTTTCTAGATGGGCCTTCGCGTGATGATGATCTACCAGGAGAACGTCATCCACGGCTTTTTAACCGCCGTCGAGTGGCAGCTGGCCGAATGGGATGGGTATTATGATGTGAGATATTGCGAGCTCTCTCTCTCTCTCTCTCTCTCTCTCTCTCTCTCTCTTTCTCTCTCTCTCTCTGAAACGTCAAGATTTTTAGGATACGTCTTGCAACACCTCACTAGAAACACCCAACGAATACTGGAAGGAAGTTAAGGTAAGCGTCAATCTTTGTGTATACACGATCTGCTATCAAAGTTCAATGACCTGCCCTTTTAGCCCCCAGCCTCAGAGAGCAGCGGCTTCCACTCGGGCCAAGACGACGCCTACGCCGGGCAGTTTGGCCGAGTTCGGCTGAGGAAGGGCACGATGGAAAGTGATTCCCACTTTGAAGCCCATGCTCAACAACATTTTTCTCATGAGTTGAACGTTGAAAACTATACAAAACTGAATTTTAACCTTGTATTTCCGTGACATTTTTGATAGTGGGAAGAAATGCTATTGGGTACGTGTGATGATTCTCGGGGATTCCCATCGGCTTTGCCCGAAATATGGATTTTGCTTTGCTTTTTATTGATGTGGTTATCGATGCCTTTATTGTGATTGGTGGCGTGATTATGTTTGTGTGGTGTTTAAGATTGATTAATAAATGATAACTTTTTCCAGAGCATCCCGTGCCTAAAACCGAAATCCCGGCAATCGAGCTTCGTAGGTTAGTTGGTCCCGGCTAGCATGATTCGCGCTGATAAGAACACCTTTCTTCCCAGGTGCACTCAGCGGTGACTCACCGGCATCCATCCCATTGATTTACTACCATGCCAAAGCGCAAATTCCTAGGGTCCGGCGGATTCGGGCAGGTCTACATATTAGAAAAATATTATCCGTAAGTTGCCCTCCCTCAAACACCCTGGGGATCTACAGGGTGCCCGTAAATTCCTTGAGTCTATTCACGCCAGTCTTTAAGAACTAATCCATTTTTCAGCCCGATCGTCGTCAAAGAACTTCCTGGCCGAAACGAAAACGATGACGTGTATAAAAGAGAGTGGACCGTGCTGAAGGAATTGGCACATGTCCATGTTGTCTTATTTGTCGACATTCCACCAGACTATAGCGACTATACGGCAGGATGTGCCCGGATTTTTATGGAATACTGCCAATATGGGACACTCGAAGAAGGTACAGGGGCGAATCGTGAATTCTCTCAGACGCAGCGCCGTGTTTTTAGCCATTCCAAACCCGGAATGGATCTACTCGGTATCGACGATTGTCGAGTGGGCCAAAGCTCTATTTTCTGGACTCGTGTACCTGCATGGAAAGGTGTCATTCACCAGGATATCAAGCCCGCCAAGTTAGGATTCCTTTACTTTGAAAAGATCCTTTTAAACAAGGCGCTTCTACTGTGACCTTGGACCATTTTTTCGCAATTTCTGGAAGTATGAGATAGCTGATCCCAAAGCGCACATTTTTCTGATTTCTGATTGATCACTACAAGGTCCCGCCTTGACCCGACTCAAAACTCAAATCACACTAAAAACGTTTTTTTGTTAGCCTATTGCTGGCGGACAACTTTCTGCTGAAGATCGGCGACTTCGGCATCACCCGGCGGGACCACGAGGCGGGCATGTTGTGTGGAACCCCTGGGTACATGGCCCCGAGGTTTTGGCCTGTGGTGCCGTCGCTGGCGATCAGAATTTCAAATGCGATATCTACAGCGCCGGCATCGTCATCCGGGAAGTCACCGTTCGTGGGTAGTCCTATTAAACCATACCCAAGCGCTCTGCGTAACTTTCTGAAATCAAGTTCAGATCGCCGGCTCCCGAGCACCGAGCAACAACGAACAACAAGGCAAGCTGTCACCAAACGGCGACGGGTTAGCACAGCTATTCCAACGGTAATGATTTTAGTCTTTTGATCTTTTTTGTCCAAAACCGCGACGACGTTTTATGATGAAAACTAAGAACGCAAACGTCGGATTCGCGCGATCGACCCAGTGCTATCGAAATGCTTGAGCTCTATTCGATGCTCGGAGAGATGTGGTGGCGCCACTCGAAAGCACCTGAGCATCAGGTAGGCAATCGAAAGGAACCCAGGCGAAACCAAACGGCTTCACCTTACATTTCGAAATCCAGGATTGTGGTGTGGGGGCAGACTTATGATTTTTTCCACTAGAAAATTTTTTCGCCTGCGGCGCTGCTATTTTAATAAAATTTTTCGCCTGCCACGCTCAAAATTCGCAAATTTGCCCTTGCTGCCCCTCCGCAAACGTCGCTGCCACCCCCACCCCCGAAACTTGGGGTCAGCTACGCCCCTGGTTACGCTCAATCAAATCCAAACACGAAAGAAAATGAAGTTCACAGCTAGTTTAGTTGAAGCGCTGAAATTTTCTTATTTTTGCACAGGAGTTTGAAACTTTTTTATAGGGTGTCCCAAAAAATGTACCCATCCGGCATAGGGCCGTGTGACATCCGATCGGTCCCAAAAATCGATGAAAAGTCCAAAAAAATGGTCGAAAAACTGATAAGAGTGGCGTAAAAGACACTATTTTGGCGAAAACTCTAGAGATATTGTAGCGATCGGGCTATATCTCAGGATCGCCGTTATTTATGATCCGATGCAACCCTGTACAAAGCACCAGACCGATTGGACGTAGTACGGCCAAATGCCGGAGGGCGCTTTTTTGGGAAACCCTGTATGTTTGCATCTTAAAACACACC